CAGTTGTGTTTAAACAAGATAGATAAATGGTGTCTCGAAAATGGCTTTTAAATTTTCTAAATCCAAAACTAATTGTATACATTTCCTGCCGTAAATACAAACCCGCATAAAGACCCGGAACTATCTCTAAATGGCACTCCTATCAAAGTTGTGAAGGAGGCCAAGTTCTTGGGTATTATTTTTTTGATTCACACTTAACGTTTCTACCACATATTAAAGCACTTAAAACTAAATGCCTGAAGGCACTTGACTTGTTGAAAGTCGTTTCCAATTCTAAGTGGGAGGGATCAAGCTACCTCCTACATCTCTATATCGATCATTGGTCCGTTCCAAACTTGATTATGGTTCCATCGTTTATGGTGGAGCCTGCAACAGCAACCTAAAACTACTTGATTCTGTCCACCACCAAGGCCTAAGACTTTGTCTTGGGGTCTTTAGAACCTCCAATTGACAGTCTCTATGTTGAGGCTGATGAGCCATCACTTACCCAACGTCGTATCAAACTATCTTTGCAGTATATAACAAAACTCTATTCTAACGAGTCTAATCCTGCATTTAACTGTGTTTTCAATCCTTCTTATGAGCAGTTGTACAAACAAAAGCCTTCTCTTGTTCCGCCTCTTGGGCACAGAATTAAACCATTCCTTACTGCTGCTGGCATTGAGCTGGATAATATATCTCCTTCTCGTCTTCTTTCTTCTCCTCCTTGGCAATTGGTGAGGCCAGAAGTTGACTTAACATTAACCACATTTAAAAAATCCGAAACTAATGATTTACAGTATAAACAAGAATTTAGTCAATTAAGAAATAAATATAATACCTATAAATCCTTATATACAGATGGATCCAAGGATGGTGGCGCGGTTGCTTGTGCCACTGTCACTGGGTCCAAAACAATATCTTCCAGACTACCTAATGACAGTTCAATTTTCACAGCAGAAGCAAACGCAATACTAACAGCTCTTAAATATATTAATAAACACCGTAAATATAAACAATATATCATTTTTCAGATTCTCTTTCGTGTCTTTCAGGCTATTAAAAATCTTTCTTGTAAACATCCACTTTTATTAGAAATTATTGAATTGTATAATGAGCTTGCTACTGGCCAGTGCGACATCGTCTTTTGTTGGTTACCCAGCCACGTTGGTATTTCTGGAAACACGATGGCTGATATTGCTGCTAAAGGCAGCACTCAACAAATCTGTGACACCACTTCTGATCCCATACTCTGATTACAAAGCTTGCATTAGATCTTACATCCGTGATCTGATGCAAAAGAAGTGGGACACCCAAGTAGGTATCAATAAATTACATGCAATAAAACCCTATATTGGTTACACTTACTTGGGTTGTCAGTCCAGATTTGAAGAGGTCATTATGCGGCGATGTCGCATTGGCCATACAAGGTATACCCATGAATATTTGCTTAAAGGCGAAGATCCTCCGTTTTGCATCCCTTGTGATGAAAAGAATCACAGTCAAGCATGTCCTGCTTGACTGTGTTGAATATTCCATCACAAGGGATAAGTATTTTAATGTCAAAACATTGAAGGATCTTTTACTACTGTTCGTTCTGATTTAGTTATTGCCTTTTTAAAAGAATTAGATTTGTTAAGTGATTTGTAAATAGTTATATATTTTATTATTGGTAGTTTGAATTAGTAACTGAGATTGTTATAGTGGCTAACCTTGGCATTATACTATTCCCAGCGAAACGGATGTTCCGTTAATTATGTCCATTTGTATATAAATGGAAACGCCCCACAGTAAAAATATTAACGCAAGGTGAGGTGTCTGGAAACGTTGCGGTGTCCAGACTAACGAGGTTATTCTATTTATAGAATAAATTATTGGAGAATTATCCATTCATATGTTTAAAGCAACTACTGACTGACCAAACTCAGTCACTAATTTGAGTGTAAATGTATACATTTTAATTTACCTTTTCTCTCTTGTACCTGCAAACTATTCAACATACTTATTTAAAATTTTACCCGACACATGTACAGCAGACCCACGAGCAGGGACGGGAGCAGCACCATGATGTACGGCACCCAGCGTCTCCGGGCGAGTCTCGGGAACTGCTCAGTTAGCGCTGTTATTGTGATCTCAAAGCATGGCACCTGCACAAAGATAAGGAGACAACCGTCAATAAGAGGGAAGATCATATTATTATTTTGCCATGTGAATACTGTGAAGTTATGATAAAAAATGGCAGTTAAATCAGCCGAAGAACCTGTTTCGGGCAGCGATCATAGCGCTACGACTGTCGTAAGTCTATGTTAAAGTAAAGGAATTACTTTCGTAGAAGCAGAGATGCCAAACCCAAATTGATGCAATTAGGAACCTGAGTCCCTAAGATAGAAGAAAATTAGGAATTTTTCCAACAAATTAGGGATCTCTATAAATTGTTGCGCTCCGGGAACGAAACTTTTCAATGCCTTTGCACATAGGGATCCTTATACAATTGAAACCGGTTGGCAGTACTTGGCAGCAGTGTTTGTGAATGTTAAGTTGAAAAAAATAAACAGTGCGTGGAATGTATCAGGCCGATAACAAAACTTCCGGATTACTTTCTTGTGTAAACAATTTCAGAACTTCTGTAAAAAGTGTTATATTTATTTAATTATCATTATTTATAGTCAAAGATCATCCTAGTGTTATAATTTGAAAGAAAAATCGGAATGACTTTGGCTTTGTTGGAATGGCGGAATCGACATGCATTTTTCGGAATGATTCGGATAAATTCGGGAGGGTTAGCATCTCTGTCGATGTACTGAGATCGTTGTCTCGAACGGGGCACGGGTTTCAGATAATGAAACCTCTCGTAGTGACTGCTCGACAATAGGCGTATCGTATGATGTGGCCCGGGATCACTATCCTGCAGTACGTGTTAGTTTGGAATCACGGTCATGCATTTTCTGATTGACAGTATTGATTTTTCCATAACAAGGGATAAATATTTCTAGGTTTCCAAAGGGTCATTTTTGGTTTACTCTGTCCTTCATTAGTCCCCACACATTCTCAGTAGGGTTAAGATCTGGGCTGTAGCTAGGTCAAACTAAAACTTAAACATTTTCATCTGACAACCACTGTTTTGTGTAGCCCGCAGTGTTTTGGGTCGTTATCATGCTGGAAAATCCAATCATCTTCATAGAGTGTTCGGGCTGTTGGAAGGAGGTGATCATTTAAGATGTCAGCATATCGTTCCTTCGTCACATTTCCAGTGAATAGCCAGCCTATAAGAGTTGCCTTACCTATTGAGCACCTTACTACATTAATGTAACATAGATTTTACGATTCTATTATCAATACCTGTGAGTCAATTCCCAGTAGCAGTAACGTGATGAACGTCAGTGCCGACCACAGTTGAGGCAACGGAAGTGAAGCAACTGCTTCAGGATACACAATGAATCCAAGGTTGAATCCTGGAAAAGTTACAAACAAACATCTCTAAGTGTGTGACAGTCATTGCTTGCTAGGCGTATAATCTGAAGGGGTACTTTCGACATTTTTCCGCAGCAATATTGTTGCCAACGATTCACATGTTTTCAGACATTAAGATGTGATATACAAATGGTTTGTCAAGGGAGACTACTTCAGTTTTCCAACAGTTAACGTTCACCCATGTCGGGTTATACTCCAGGATCCATGACAAATCGATTATTATGCTGGAAAGGATTTCAAGACGGTTTGAAAAATAGCAATGGTACGGAATGTAGAATAGATATGATTAATGATGCAATTCCCTATCCACGCTTCTTTCTGTCGATGAAGATTTGACTTGCCTTTTGCCTGTATTTGTGACCGATGCAACCAGCCAACGTTCTTGTTATATAAGCATATCATCATCATGCATGCTTGTAATATTGTTAGAGTCATATAATGAATTCCACTCAAGCAGAGGCATCTTATGATCGTGTAAATGGGTTCTATTCGAGAAAATAAAAACGGTAAAAGGTAACTGAAACGGACATAAAATATTCACAATTCCATTCCTGACTAACTATGCTCGCAAACTAGTTTCCAAATCCGATTAACTTCACTCCGCAACTGGGACACAGCGTTTGTGATGATAGAACGGAAGGCAATCATTGTAATCCCCTCCGGCAGATCTTCGATACTCATTATACTCGTGTTGACATTTTGAATTTGATTTGGAGTCAGGTTTGGAAGGATAAATCAATTTACTAATTATGAATGTTAGGCTGGCAACGACGGAGAGGTTATAACGCAGCTGGACTGACACAAGGCAACACTATTTTACATCTACGTTTTGAACAAGAGTAGTCATGGCAACAGAATCTGAAATTAGACCTAATAGTCACGAGCAACAAATGTATTCACGGGTTCGTGTCAATAGGGCTAACACAGTATACTGAGAATATCAACATTTAATATGCTTTTAAGTTCCAGTTGTCTCCTTATGCGGTCATGGTCCACTTGAATTGAAGGAATAGGACACTTCTCTGAGTTGCCTGTGCCTCCTTGGCGTCATACGAGGCTGTACTAATACTGTAATACTGTCCAAGGCGATGTTTAGTTTAGTTTTACGCCCATTTAGCAATATTCCAGCAATATCACGGTTGGGGCACTAGCTTCGCACATTGTGAGGAATCGAACTCGGGTCTTCAGCGAACGCTTTACCCACTAGGCTACCCCGCCGCCCATTCATAAAAGATAAAAGCGACAATGACTTTTAAAACCATAAGTAATCGCTGCTAAAGCAGTGTCGGTTGTACGATTTCAACTATATCATGAGCGCGTGTTCACGAAACAATATTGAGAAGCCTTGATAGCATGCGTTGGAGCATTGATCGACATAAACGGAAAGTTGACTTTAAGACAATTGAAGTTATCCCCCTTTATCTGGAAAGTTTATAGCCTTTATGCATTAATCTGAACATGAAATAGATTTGGAAGATTCTCTTTTAATTCTAATTCAAATGAGCTGAATTCAAGGACTGATATGTACCTGATGACTGGAACGCCTCAACAGTGACTCCACGCAAGTGAGCAACGTGACCCATGACGGCGAAAAATGCAAACCCGATATACACAGCGGTAGCGACATCAGCAGCAACGATAATTAAGACATCCCTACAAAGAAACAAAGAATATTGTTAGAGACTTGAAGTGGTAAGTGTACAAGTGTAAGAGTAGGGTGGTTTAATACCTTTTTTTTCTATTATTCTTAGATAAAGTGTAAAAGACACATTTTATGTATCCTATGCATTTCATAAAGATATCTTATTATTCCAAAATATCATTTCTATCATAACAATATTAAATTTGAGATAAAGATCCTAACTTCGGAATATAACTTGTAGTAAAATAGACACATTTGAAAACAGCAAAATAAGATAAACTCCATGGAATCATTTGAATTAAATGAAAATAAAATCGTATATTCCCTAGCATATTTTTGAATGCTTAAACGTTAAGGCCTATTTTCGAATAAACATGTCGTGTTTTTTTTAGCATTTTGTTTCAGTTCGCTATATTTGATGCGTGGCATTGTTTTGTTGAAATATTTGCCTTGTAATTATGCCCTCCCCATTCCCGCCCAAGCCCAATTTGCAACACATTGTCCGTTAACGGTCCGTAAGTATTGGTATCCACACGCAGATAAGATAATACACACACCTGTTTGGCACCTTTAACGTCAGAATAACGTGACAAAACACCACGGGATGACAGAACATCAACTTACTTGCTGTCTATTGCCTACACTATGTATGACTCCCCATTGTCCCTAGCATGGTGACCTAACTTCAGTTGATGGCGATCCATAGCCCGTTTTAATTCCATTGCCCTTTAAGTTAAAGTCAACGCCAGCTGGTTTTTATTCTGTTTGAGATATAGTAGTTGATTTTACTGTCTTTCGTTGACAGGTTTTTATAATCCAACTTTATGAATCATGAATAATTATATAACTTGATTTGACATGTGGCTGAAATATTGCCAGTGTGACTATAAATCTTAATTCGCTCACTCTGACAGGTTCGTAGCTACCCCTGTAAAAATGCCGGGCTTACACATTTTTGCTATGAAAGTTGGACAAACCCTCAATACTATCTAAATATGAAGCTTGGCAACCTATGGGGTTTACACGAACAAAACTTGCAGCGCGCCTGTCTGCTATGTATGTTGTTTCCATTACACTGAATGGCGTATCATGCCAGGGGAACAGGATATAGCCCTGTTTTGAAAACTTGGTTTTAAAGAGGTACTTCGTCATGCCCCATCAATCTGGAGTATGAGTAGGAATGCGTCTCTCCTTAACATGTATTATACACTCATGAATAATTCATACGTTATGTATCTCACTGACTCTGACATGGGGGCTTCACCGTGGCTGCTAGTGATCACATACTGTGTTGTTCATTGATAATATATTCTGTTAAGGCTCTCAAGCTATTTGGCATATCACATGCTATAGTCTAGTTGGTTTACTGGCCTTCGACCACAGGGATTTAATCTGTTAAGATATAATCGCTGTTAATGTATCATCCTCTCTGTAATGATATTGCTGAGACATGGCCGATGTGACGATACATTTTAACTCACTCACTAACTTTTGTATGTTGTACATTTTGGTAATGTAATTCCGTAGCATATTACTATTATGCGATCAAGATAAGGTGAATGAGATTCAAGAGATAATACCCAAGTTTATCATTGAAATCAACTGCAAAGTCCAAAGACGTGTAGGTATGATCTTTATTTCTAAGTATAAAATACGAAATATTTATGACTAGAATAGTTAAGACCGTCCAGATTTCGATGTATACTTTTTATGTCTTGTGACTGGAAAAAGTCTGTTGTCCATACCAGGACAAGAGTAGAACAATAAATTATAACAAAAGTTAGTTTTACTTTCTGAATCCGTTATGCATGACTATTCCCACATGTAATTTATGCTCTCCTGAAAGTATTGAGGTGATGGTACGTTTCACATCACGTGTGTTCTGTGCAAGAAAGAATGTGTTGAAATAGGCCTTAACTTTTCTTAAGCATTGCATTAATATTTCAACTGAACTAAACTGTTAAAATGCATATACATCAACACCAGCATATGTTGTAATGTATTATATAAGGTTTTGCTGTTAACAAAGTGATTATATATGTAGTCACACTGTCAAAACGAAATATGATATTCATTAGAAATATTGTTTCATATTCTACATAGAAACATTTGCAGGTTTCATGAAGATACGAGTATTTCTTAAGCTTGTAATGTTATACCTCAGTAACCAAGGTCTCTGGGCTGAAAAGAGTTGCCAGTAAGGAAAAGGACAGTTAATAACAATGAGCATTGTGACAATCTGACCCAAAAGAAACAACAGAGAGCTTAGCCCCGTTCGAACGCCGTACATTCAAGAAGAACATGATTGGTTAGTGTTTGCCTCTGCTCCGTGACGTCACAATCATGTCAGCCAATAAAATCCTCAGGTTCACAGTTTCAAGCTAAAGAGTGTTCCTCTCGCCCAACTTGTTGAAACCTTTAGGACTCGGGGTCATCTGAGAAAAGTATATATATATACATGTCTACGAAAGTTCAAGGTTGTACAAAAGAGCCTAGCAAATGAAAATATAATTTCAGATCGATAAACAGAGAAATAATGAAACATATAAATTTCAACTTTACATAAAATCACCAGGGACAAGAGTCTTATTTAAAATAAAACTCTTATTTAAAATAAAACATGCATTATTTATAAAGGGATGATGTCAGTTCTCTCACAATACCATATGAAGATCATTGAATGAAAATTCATACCATAGAAATTTACACATTCTTTCACAGTTTACGTCCTCCTTGCGATGAATAGGGATTCATAAAATTATCTTAAGCAGCGTAAAAGGTCTGCACATATTACTGTAACTGTTGTTGCTGTGTAGGACACCACAAACTAACATTAGGATAAAATTACTGTTTTTAAAATAATCAGGCTATGAAAACATATTCAGGAATTTCATGGGTTTCAAGTTGTGATCATAGGCGCTTAACGATAATCAGAACAAGGAACAGTCTATTTTCAAGGCATATTTGTTTGTTTTTTTTTGTTTAATTCCCCACTCAGCTATATGGCGGCAGTCTGTAAATAATCGAGTCTGAACTCAGTGACAATTCAGTGGTAAATAGCATGAGCATCGCTCTATACGATGGCGTGTGTCAACCAAGTCAACGAGCCTGAACACCCGGTCCCGCAAGTCGCCTCTAACGACAAGTTTGGGTTGCTGAAGACTAATTCTAACCCGGATCTTCATAGGTAAAATAATATTTGTCTGTTTTACTATTTTTATTTCAGTTAATAGTAATAAAGAATTTAATCTGTTTCCACAAAGAGGGACTGTTCCGTAAGCTAACATTCAAGATATAAAGTGAACAGTATGCCCTGAATTAGTTTTCATAGCCTGTTGTATGCGAATTGTCCACTGGCAAGAGTTTACTTGAAACGGGAGAAGAAAAGCACTGAGAAGCAGATTTGTACCTGAAGCAATTGTTGTTGAATTTGTTGTGCGAGGCCAGGGTGATAAGACAACCCCAGGCAATGCCCAGCGAGTAAAGAGCGTAGTTGCACGCCTCAATGCAGATCTGAAATGGAAACAGTTGCTGAACAAAAACCCAACAACAAGGAACAAGTAACTCTTTGCAATTCATACACTGAACGGTGCTTAAGTTCTGCTTCGGAAAAGAGCACTATCACCAATCTCAGTTGAAGCCAAACTTGTTGCCATGGAAACGCAAAAAAATTATTTTATTCAGAAATCCAAAACTACCCAAAGGCACCAGTACACCACCAGATCTATCTTTGTACCAAGTTTGGTGAAGAAATATTGAACGGTTTAAAAGTTCTGCTCCGGAAAAGACAAATGTGCAAGGACGCACGAACGCACACACGGACGGACGGAGTCCATTTTAATACCCCCGCAAAACGCAAATCAACATGATTATCACAGATATAAATATAAAACTAGTAATTTAATCTAAAACAGTTTAAAAGACGATACATTACATAATCACTAAGTAAAACGAACGGTGGATAGATAGCTGTACAACAGTATAGTATCAGCGCTATACCTCCTTAACACCCTCTCCCTCTCCCCCTGGCAACGGTCGCCTGAGAGCAGCAGAGCGTATCCGGGTCAGGTGCTATCTTCACCCCCTGACACAAATAAAAGACACACAATAGCCTGAGTCAAGGGCGCGTCGTTTGTGTGTATGTGCCTTTAGAACCACGTGTCAGAATAAGACCACTGGATCGCGTCTCGTATATTCGGATGATAGTTCTCATAAAATCTGAAGAGACAGATTACCACACTCAACTATAATTATCCCAGCAGGCACATGAACAATAGACGTTTAAATGACGTCTACATTCAACATTGAAATGACGTCTAATTTTAGTTTAAAGTGGAAGTCTAGAAGACGTTGAAGCATTATTGTTGTTTAAACGTCTAAAGGTAGACCTCATCTAAACGTTTAAAACATGTTTAAAAGATGTTTAATATCATATGGGTTTGATGATGCAGCATGCCTATCGTTTGCAAAATATGCTGCAGTCTAGACCATCTGCAGTGTTCAGTACACCCTGTGCACTTTAAAGAACCCACGAATCCGTTGGTATACGACCAGATGGTGGCCACATAAATACGTGCAAACACGTAGTTGCGGGTACAGCAACGTGCAGTACACTTGGAGAAAGTACTGTGACTATGTGTCCTAGTTCACCCAGCTGTGAACGGGTACCTCGTAAGGATGGGAAAGCTGCAATAACTCGGTGCGCCTAGTGGCTGCTAGAGTTGTATGATTCCCAGGGAGTTGAGATTGTACATACGATGTGCCATTGAGATTGACATCTTAAGTAAATATCCTATAATAATAATAATAATAATATTCTTCATTCCACCTAGATTCTAAGTTAAAACTACAACTCAAAAGTAAATTGTGATCTTAAAAGAAATTTATTCTGGATACAGATTACATTAAAATTGTACATAGATATCTGAAATTTACACACTGCTTCTATAAGAGACCTATGTAGTAGAACATACTTTTCCAGCTGAAGTTAACATTTAACAAATTTTGAAGAGGATATTGAATTGTGACATTTTTGACTATATACCAATATTATATGATATGTATGTAGATTAAAACATGTCTACACAATGCAAGGAGGGAGAATGTACAAAGATGATAATATAATTACGAAGCCAATTACGTCGTGTAAAGAATTAAAAGAAGGTGTTATCCATAAAAGTGTCATGTATTCACGACCTCTGTAAAGCTTGTCAATTATTTGTAAATATGGAATAATTCTCATTCTTTCGACCTTCCACCACCACCTCATTTTCCAGGGTCATTCTGGAGATATTTACCCAACTCCTTGTAGATCATGCCCTCAGTTACTCCCTTGTAGGACTGTGTTATTGATTCTGGAAACAAAAAGAATTAAATAGCAAGAACGTGAAATAGCATATCACACGACATTGTGTCTCCAAATGATGCATTTTATTGAGTATGTGTCAAAACCGTAAAACCCTTGGCTGGTAAGGATAATATCGATGATCCAGTTCAGTTGAGATTCGATTATCACTTCTCGTCGTTTCTACTCGTTGTCTTGTTTTCCTCACCAGGCAGATTGAATCCCCGCGTGTCCCTGAGATCGGCTAGCGTTATGTTGGGATGATGGTTCATTGTTTAATACAAATTACGAAATGGTTTTTAATTGGTTTTCGGTTAATTCCTCGGACGTGCACTTCAGACCCTCGAGATGTATGTTGTTGTTTAGAAACTTTTAGTGAGCGATATCGTGTCTTCCACGGTCACAGTGACTCCCTGCAGACTGGTGTTGGCATTCACGTTCACCCCAGGTAAACAGAGCAAACTTTGTATTGTTGTTGTTTGGCCCAGCGGAGTTTGATCCCTTCGTGATTTCGACGCCACGCGCTGAGGGCGGTTCGCCGAGTAGACTTGGATTCGGTTCAGCCGTCGTTGTACTTTTCTGTTTTCACCGGTACGGCTCTCAGCAGCGCTGTAGTAGCCGTCTGTTATTTGGTTGCGGGCGTTATTGACGAACAGCCTGTTGTTGCTGCCGCTGATGTTGGTCCATCGCAGTAGTAGGTGATATCGCAGAGTGCGACTTCGAGCTGACCAGACCAGACGTGTTATCGATCGCATGCAGCAGTTGAACGTACTCACCGCTCGTTATTCCCGGAAGCATCACGTACATGTTGAATGAATATGTATACAAAATTAATATAACAATTCAATATGTACAAACCGGGAGTGTTTTATTCTAAAAGCGATATAGATTTCACGTATATGAAGATCGTGGTCGATGCAAAGGATGGTTTACATTTCAGAATTCGGGTCATCGATGTGTTTAAAAATATCAGGTTTTCGGTAACGAATGTAAAAACGGTGCACGCTTGGTTTAACAACTTAATGCAGTTCTGGCAGAATCAATTCAATTTTGCCGTGTGATGCGTGACGATCGGGTGTGGTGTGACGTTGAACGACGACGATGAACTGAGTCGGTCCATGTTTTTGTTTCACGTGTACTACCAGATCAGACGTATCAGCGCCCCGATTCTGCAGGACAAGGCGTGGAACAAAGTAAACAATCCGTACAATCGACATGCGTACGAACGCGTTTGCGGTGAATTCGAAGTAGATCTGAAGATGGTCGATCGGCGTTTCCCGGATCCGAACCACAGTTTGGGCATTCCCATCGTTTACAACATGCCTCTCGTGCAAGCCAGCAAACAGCTGTAACTACAACAACAAAATCGTCATCGCCACCGGCGATCAAAAGTTGGCTTGAACCCGGACGTCAATAACGCGAGTCACAGTATGAAACGGGCATCGTGGGGCCGACACCACGAAGATGACAGCATCAGCTGCCTCCGCACGTGCAGGCAAACAATAAGTGGCACATTGATCGCAAAACGGCGGCTCTTACAGGTCGCACAATCTTTTCTTGATGATGTTTTTCGTGGCCTCGTTTTCTTTTCTCGCAAGCGATGTGCTTGTTGATTTCGTCCAGTTTGGCTAGGTTGTTCATGAGTGATCCAAGCATGGTCTGCAGGAACTTGTCTAGAGCTCTAATTTGCCTGAGAGGTAATGGACTGTCGTCTAGCGTGGCCAGTATGCTGTCGAGTCCGTCTCGAACGCGTTCTGGCACGTCTTTCAGATCATCGTGTTTGGTCCTTACCTTTTGCAGATCTTGGATGGCCTTCGTGGGATTTTGGGTCGTGCGCCGCCATAATCTAGCAGGTTTTATTCATTGCGGATCAGTTGATTACCGCCACGGCGTCTGGCCAGTGTCGACAGGGCAAGCGGTTTTCTTGATTGTTCATGAGATCGACCTCCGGATGGGCTTTCAATCGCAG